AGCAGTAGCAGTAGCAGTAGCAATTTGATCTACCCAGTACAAAAACGGACACAGGCACTGAGCGCAACGTATCTGCGTCTCAAGGACTTTCATGACCTCAATGTTCACGAAGATGTGTAGATTTAGGGTTTTTTTTCGAACATCGGCCCACTGCAACGTTCGAACGGGGTGCAGCAGGACTTCTTCAACCCAGGCGAGTTGCCATTAGTCTTATATACGTAAGTTTCTTGCGATCATGAAAATATGCCACGCCTGGCAAGCCAGGTTCGGAGTTTGACTTTCGAGCTGCATATATATATATGCACATACATACATACATACATACATACATACATACATAACTATATATGTGTACATGTGTGTCATCCATCTCCCTTGTCGATCATTCGCTCTCTCTCTCTCTCTCTCTTTCCGTCTCACTTTCTTTTTATCTTTCTCTTCCCGCTCCATTTGCGTATGCAAACAAATGGATTCAGAACCCGCACGCCCGAAACCTGACGGCATGAGTCCTGCACTACGTCAGTAAACTCTAAAAGCCTCGGAATGCCGAGACCCCAACCTTACTCCACATCCTATTTAATATCTGACACTTTACATCTCGAGCCCTAAACTCCAAACCAGAATCCTTATCCTGAGTATAGAGCCCCCTATGAAGACCCCGTTTTGAACTCTTGACTCTTGTAAGACGCAAACCACGCGGCAGAGGTCGAAGCCTTTCTGCAGTCTGCGCAGCATCGTTTGTCGGTCTCTTGGTGTGCAAGGAAATGCATGTTACTACGTAGTATATACTTGTCGCAGTATTATGGTTATTGTGCGTTCGATGTCGTAGTAAGCTAACAACCAAGGACCGTTACTCTGACAGCAGTATGTTGAAGGAGTAGTTTTGCTCTTCTTGGTTGGGACCTGGTACCTCTTGCTTGAATCTTCCGTTTAGTTATTACTGTAGTGGGCGGTTAGCGATGAGTATTTAGGACTTGTCACTAACTACAACGAGTAATAGTCGTTCGTCACGAGCCACCTGCATGCCCTCCACAGTCTAGAATGTCGGGGCTACATGCTCTGGACACCAGTTAAGACTAGCGACAAGTCTCGAGTAAAGTACTATGCATAATTCAGGACACTACACAAAACCCCAGAAAGTGGATGCCTTATACCCTAAACCCTAAACTGAAGCCCAAAACCCTGAACTTAAGCCCTAAACCCTAAACTTAAACCCTAAACCCTGAACTTCAGCCCTAAACCCTAAACTTAAACCCAAAACCCTGAACTTAAGCCCTAAACCTTACAGACCCCTTCTAAGTTGACGCCTGCCCCTAAACCCGATTTGATCCTCTCAGGAGAAGTCCGAGGAAGTGCAGACAGCCATCCCTTGGCTACAGAAGTATCTGGGCGTTTACGAAAAGAAGGGGTACCTTATGTTGGGGGTCCCTATAATAAGGATCCTACTATTTAGGGTACCATATTAGGGTCCCCTATAAAACCCTAAACCCCATCTTGCCCGCAGGAGGCATCTCTCACCTTCTGAGTATTTATATTCCCCCTATATATTATAGTAGAGTATAGTTGATGATATTATGTTGTGAGACATGTTGTTATAGTAAACCATATTTTCTTATGTCATGTCATATAATACCATCTATGATGTGTTGTATTACATGATGTTTTGTTATGTTATGATATACAATGTTTTGTCATGAAACAATATATTATGGTATCGTTATTTGGATTTATTAGCATTATTGCGAGTAGCAGTATTAGCATTATCATTTTTATCATTCTTCGTATTATTGTTTTTATTATTGTTGTTATTGATGTTACAGTGTTGTTACTATTCTAAACTTATCTTTATTGTTACTGTTATTATAGACTCTAGACTGGCTGAAGGGAGGCTTCCCTTGATCACCCACTAGCTACCCTTTCTACCCCGAGGAGCCTCAGAAAGCTCATGGAGCAGGGTTACTTGCTGGAGTCTGCTTCGATGAGTTTACACCATGTCAGATCCCAAGGAGAGAGTAAGCTTTCGTAGTGTAGGGTCCTTAATAATCGGAATCGGGTTTTGGGGTCCCTTATACTACAATTGTTATAAGGAACCCCCAAAACCCTATTCTAATTATTAAGGCCCCTCTATGAAGCAGTGGAGCCTGAAGTTAGCCATTTGAGCACATGTCGCTGAGAGCTCCCAGGCTGACAACTCGACTTCGAGCGAAGTCCGACGGATACATCGCAACTTTGCAAGAATCCAACGCGTGGTTCGTTGCTGTGGGCTTTGATGTGACTACTTGCTCTCGATGAACAATGCTGTCATGTGGGCCGGAGTAGAGGATGACATGCGTCGCAGTGACAAAGTCCTCAAGATGTAGATGGTGAGACGTCTTTCGTTGATGAAAGTTGTTTGTTCTTCACTCAGTTCCTCACTCACTTCGCATCCCCACTACAGCTGAGCTCGAGTATGCCGTCTCCTGCTTCATCTCAGGCCTGACTGGGCACCCAGAGGACCTGAGTCCGGTCCTACGGCCATGATGCGTTAGCTTGGAGTAGCACATCATGCCAATCTGAAGAACCGAGGCAGCTGCGGGGCTGTTGCAAGAAGAAAACATGTGCATTGCTACCAAGCGCGATGGTAAGCACCAGGTTGCAAATCAGCATGGCCACGATCATCACGGTAGCCAAACTGCCAACATCAGGCGCAGCAAAACCAGCATTCTGCAATGAGGAGTGTATCATACTACTACTACTACTACTACTACAACAACTACTACTACTACTACTACTACTACTTCGACTACGACTACTACTACTACTACTACTACTACTACTACTGCTACTGCTACTACTACTACTACTACTACTACTACTACTACTACTGCCACTGCTACTGCAACTACTGCTACTACTACCACCACCACCACCACCACCACCACCACGACTACTACTACTACTACTACTACTACTACTACTACTACTGCTACTACTGCTACTGCTACTACTACTTCTACCACTACGACGCCGACTACCGCTACTGCAACTACCACCACCAACAACCTAATACCTGCGCCGTATCTACCTACTTACGAATAGCAAGGTAGCTGCTGACTACTCATCTCTCGTGCTACGAAGTACTAAGTACTATGTATACTATCTACTACCTGACTGTGCTTGGCCAGCTCCCACATTGACAGAACCAAGTGTTGTTCTATCTTGTTCTTTTGAACACTACGAATGTTCTCCGACTTCGAGCAGCTGCCTCTCGATTTAAGGCCCCAGAGGTTGGTGTCAATCGGCCCATCTCTTGCGCCGCTGCATGAACAATTCCAGTTTAAGCTTTGACAGACTGACCCGATGGGTCACCCTCCATGAGCTTGCTATAGCTTGTTGCTTGCACTTTGGTGTCGGTAGAGGGTTCAGAACTCAGTCTGCCGTACACTATAAACTATACTTGATTATACTATACTAGACTGCTCTGCTATGCTCTGCTACACTATCACTTATTGTGCGCCAGCAAGCATGCACCCTGCTCCTGAATCATGACTTGGTTCTAACCACAGTGGTTCGGCCTTGCGAGCCGTCGCGTGCACTGCCAATGTCTACTCCTGACCTCCAGGTCCGAAAAGGATCGTGCCCATGAGAGGGCTTAGGGCTTAGGGTTTGGGGTTTATAGGGTTTAGGGTTTAGGGTTTAGGGTTTGGGGTTTAGGGTTTAGGGTTTGGGGTTTGGAGGGTTTAATAATTTTTGCGTTTCGGGGGTTTCTGGGGTCCTGAAAGTGATGGGGTTTGGGGTGAAAGCAGGAGGGAAGATTCTCACATCGTCGCGATGCATGGGTCTACTCAAAACCTTGGGCCCTAAACCCTAAGCCC